ATATCTCTGTCACTCCGTCCGAGCTCATTCATCAATCACCATGGGTCGCACTTGTACTTGTACGACGCGGCTCTACCAAGGCTCTGCAGTGGGCACGCTGACTGCGGTGAAAATATTTGATGGCGGAAAGGAGTCTGTCATTTATATTTACGACTTCACAACAGGAAGTTCACTAAAAAACATTTTTCATAAACAGCCAGGCAGGAGTCCGCGAGGAGGTTTTACCGGTAGAGAAGGAAGGTAAGTGTGTAGAGGAACAGGGAGCAGTGCTGTAGAAGCAGTGGGGTGGAGGGGGGGAGTAGTCCAGCGACAAGGTTCAAATTAAGGCTTCAACCTTTCAGTTGTTCATCACTCCGTGTCCACGAGCTGGCACACGGCTCTCTGTGACCACACTCAGGTCAACCTCTGCGGACCTTTTCTACTCTGTGTACTAATGAGGGGAAGTTTAAAATACCACAGGAAAGCAAAACAAGGTCAAGTAAGTGACAGGTTAGTAGGACGCACCAAGGAAGGAAGATCTAATACTCGCTAGCATTTTCAACACAAGTATTGAGACAGAGGTGGATGGTAACAAAGCACATTAATCATTAATTCAATTATTGTATTAATGTAAATGAATATGTACTTGAGTATTTCCATTTGATGCAACAGGGTGGGACGTATCGCACGTTTTAGTCCACTACATTTAACTGAGTTTGTACATTAACAATGTCCAGATGAAACAATAAATATAAAAACATGTCATACACTGTTGGAGATGAACCTCTAACTGTAGAAAAAGCAGAACATCTCACCTCAAGGTTCAGTTACTAAGATACAAGCTTCTCATCTTGACTTTGTTTTTATTTTGTTTTCAGGGTCAAGAATTGATGGTTATGTTTATGTTTACTTACATTAGCTTCGGTGCCACTAGCAGCACAATTTAAATACTGCCTACACATTACTGCATCTCTAATAGTGATCATATTATATGATATGTGATAATTCCATCAGTTTGCTTTTTTTTTTTTATTTCACTAAAGTACTGTCCTTAAGTACAATTGATGCTTCTCAATAATTTCTACATTTCAGAGGGAAATTATATATATATATATATATGTATTTTTCCACTACATTTAATTGACAATTTAGTTTGTAGTTATTGTACTTTGTAGATTCAGGTTTTACATAGAAAATATATGATCACATGACCAATATTCGATTGGGAAATATGATACATTGTCACAGGTTTAACTACCCAAAGGTCTATGATAAACATAAGGAAGCCCTGAGAGGCAAGCGAAAAAAATAATTTCTCGTGATCCATTTTCTAAGTGTGATGTAAATAGTTTTATCTCATGTGTTTATGAAAAAAAAGGTTTTGCCGGGATAATCATTTTTAGTTTCTCATGTTTTTTGTCTGAAAATGGTGGAATAAAAAGTTTTGCCGGGATCACTTTCCTAAACTCTACTACTTTTGTTTTTCATCAGTTAAAACAATTTGGGTTTTTGTCAGGATCCTTTTTTGCTTGTTGTTGTAACTCTCATTTCGGCCACAAGAGGCTGAAGTGCACCACTGCCCCATGTTTTAAATAGGACAAAAAGAATTTCTCCTTGCTAAACACAAAGTACACATATTGTGTACTTACAAGTTATGTAAATTAAACTCACCTGAAAGAAACAAAAATAATGCTTTTAGTCTTATTTAGATTATGTGGTAGTGTTGCACTTCAGCCTCTTGTGGTCGAAATGAGTATTACAACAACAAACACTTGAAAATGATTAGAATAGCCTTTTTACTAGTTATGTAGATTAAGTAAATATCTTTTTTCTAATGGATATTTTTACATTGTGGTACTACTACTTTTATTCACAAGACAACTCCAGTTTGTTTTTTGTTGTTTTTATTCATTTGTTAGAATAACATTGTAAACACCAGAGTCAACTGGAAACAAGCGGACGTTTAACCAGATTATTATTTGGAGGTCAAACAGAAAGTGATGCACACATGGAATGTCCCTTATTCCTCATAACACAGGAAACCTGTATGATCGCAACCACAACAAGATCATCATGTCACGTTAAAGCAGGATGAGGAGCTGTAAACTGATGTTTGCTTCCTGTCAGATTGTCTGACTGCTCATGTCTGTTGAACCATGCTGTTGATCTCAGCAGTTACTCTGTTGAGCATAAATAAAACCAAAAGCCAAAGCTACAAAAACACAAGTTGTAATAAAGTGAAATGATCCTTAAAGTAAAGGATCTGACTACTTCTTTAACCAGTGGCATTGGGACAGTGGGCTATAAATATTTCAATCGGTTTATTTTGTGATGGCTTAGCTGCACAGCTCTTCTGCTTCGGAAAAACGTTTTGACCCTCAGCTATATCTATAAATGACTCAGAAAATAAAATGAGGAAAGAGGGAAGATTGTGGATATTTCTCTGGTAACTGCTTGAAATCAAATAGTGTTTGGAGCAACTTGTGTCACTGCCAAAACTTCAATGCTTAATATCACATTTTAAGAGCAGATTAAAGATATCTCAGTTTTGTAAATGCTCGATATGGATTCTTTGGTTGATAACCAGCAACAAGTCTACGTACACAGACGAACCGAGTGATATCAGCATTACTGGTGGGGCTGCTCCGTGGGTCGGGCTGCTCCGGCCCTGGAGCCCTAGGATTGCCCTGTATACCTCATGGTGACGGAGAGAGCGTCGATGTAAATGTCATAGTAAACCGGCTGATGTGGTACCGTAGAATAACGTCAATCACGCAGATGTAATGAACTGAACCTTCGTTGTGTAGCTGGATTGAATCGTTGGGCAACTGTACTGTGTGCTGCTGTACTAGGCTTTAGAAATATGTGAGAATCAGAAGCTTCTGATTTATATTCAGAGTTGTTGCTGAATGCAGTTGCACATTTGTTTTTTTATAGAGGTAGTATTATAAGACAATTCAATTATTGTCTTTTCATAATAAATGTTGTAAATGCATTTTTAATTGACCCATCATGGATTGTGTTTTACTTTGGCCAAGGAATTTAAGGTCTTGGTTCATTTGAAGTCCATAGTCATATTTTCATTACCTGTTTGTTTAATATTCAGCGTACATAATTGTTTGATTCATGTATTTATGCTAAGATTTGTTCAATTTTTGTTTTGAGACCTTTCTTAATGCCCAGTTAATTACTGAAGTTTGAACGCATTTTTAACTCTGCATGTGTGTGCTAATTCATTTCACTTATATTTCTGAATGAATGCAGAGTCAATGCTAAAGTTTGTGCAAAGAGGAACCCAGGACCAAGAGGAAGGTACCTATACCCCTCAACCATCTACCAGCAGTTCAGTTACACAAGATGATTCACACACAAGCAGCAGGTCCGAAGAGAACAGTACACAGGTGCCACGAAGTTGGCTTTACACTGAACTTATCTCTCTGGCTCTAACTTTTTCATTCTTCCCATAACCATTTCAGCATAGAGTGCGACACCATATTCTTGGAGAGACATGGTAAGTGGTAAATGGACTAGCATTTGTATAGCACATTTCTATGCTTCAGACCACTCAAAGCACCCATCATTAATTCAAACACATATTCATACCCCATGCCAGGCGCCAACTGCCAATCAGGCCTCTATACTATAGTCAGTGTCTTGCCCAAGGACACTTTGATACGCAGACTGGAGGGGCCGAGCAATGAACAGCAGATCTCCCGATGTACGAATGCAATGCTATGTGGCAGCTGAATCACGTCTGTCATCAGAATTTCTCTTCAGCATGTGAATGCACCACCGGGAGGGAATCACAGATCACTCCACCATTGTGAAACCATTCAAACTCCAAAATCAAGTAACATGGCGAGTTGATTAAAATGAATTGGAACCACTGGCCCTTGGAATGTAGCCAAGTAGCTGGTACCGCTAGCATGAATTGGGAAATGGTTGTCAGTATTGAAAGTTGTTATCGTGTAAAACCACTGGTAACGCCCATTAAGGCCTTATCCTTATAAAACCAATGTGTTGTTAGGGGTATTTCATTGTGAGGATAATAACTAAACAGTACAATTTGTGTATTTAAGATCCTTTACATCACTTAACATCCTTAATATTTACTTAATACTCACATACTCTGTGTAACAAATCGTGGTTTCCAAAATGAAAATGGAACATTTTGTGTCGGGACAAAAGAAAATATGAAATTGCTCAGTTTCACTTCCATCCCTTCTGCTCCTACTTGGGAACTCTACTCCCAAAAGTCCAAAGCCTCTGGCGATTACGAGCTGCCACTGTCGCCACTCACACCACCAAGTGTTGCCTGTCTGCCGAGCTCACCTGAGAAACTTATTGAGATCCCCGTGCTTCATGTACTCAAAGACCATGATGAGCGGGTCTCCGTCTACGCACACCCCGTAGAACTTCACTATGTGCTCGTGCTGCAGGTTGGTCAGCAACTCGGCCTCGCGCTGGAAATCCTTCCTGGCTGCAAGAGTGGGGTCCTTCAGTGTCTAGAGAGAGAGAGAGAGACAGAGACAGAGAGAGAGAGAAAGAGCATGTTATAGTGGTTTACATGACCAAATCAGGGTTGCACTTCGCTAGCCATGAAAACACCCCTCCCTCTGTGTTATTATATTCCACTAATCTCACTTGCAGTTTCCTGTACAACATCTGGAGTAAAAGGTGATACCGGTTTACCTTGGCAGCAGTAATGGATGGAATTCAGTGTGGGTCAAATGAAAAAGAAGAGGAATGTTTTCATGATCACAACAAAGCCAAGTGAAAAATGTATCTCTAGTTGGATAGATAAGAACTGCTGCTTAGGAAATCCATCTGCTTTCCAGCTTTCTGAGTGTGTAGTGGAGGGAGACATAGACAGACAGATACTGTAGAGACACACACGTGAGTTCAGCTGTCTACTGCATCATTTGTAATCACGCTCTTATCCCGTCGATGCACCTTCCATACAATATCCCCTCATTGCTACACCTCCCTTTTACATGCGATCACAGCAACCACTCAGCAACAGCCCTCATTGTTAAAATCCAATAATTACCACTGATGCACAACCTAACACTTTATTACATAGTATATTTTAAAGACAAGATGAAATGGGGGGGTAGTAACATTATGTCTGGTTACTGTGTTTGTGTGTATGCATGTTGCAGGTACACAATCCATTTACTTGCTATCTTCTGTACTGCAGAATTAAAACAAATAGTCACGTCAGTGCATTTGAAATAGGTGTGAGCACAGAGAAATGCATTGTTATGGATATTGTGGATCGGGGCTAGGATCCATTGTAATGTGAAGGAAATGTGTTTTCCTCCGGTTCATACTGGCCATTAAAAGATCCCTTCCTCACGCACTTTCAATGTAAATGATGGGGGACGATATCTGAGTCTGAATTTGTTTATTTTTTTACATGAATTATAGATTCTAAATATAACGAAAACATTGGATCCACAGTTGTATTTCAGATGACAGAAATATAAAAGTACCCTTTCCCAGAATATTACAAATTATTACAATTTTGGTGGTCATAATAGAAGTAGACAAGATAAAGAAAGGGAAGTACACAAATTGGACAATGGGAAAAAATAAAGAATTACTAATATAAAATTCATCCAAATGTTAGGGAAACCGTCTAACTCTATCTTCTTGCTATTGTTTTATTCTGTCTACATAAGATAAAAAATGGCTGCCATAAATGATAGAACTTGTCAGTTAAGCCTCTAAGAGTATACATTATTTTTTCTAGGTGGAGGAACAGCATAAGATCTTTAATCCACCGATTATTTGATTGTCGTGATTCTTGCTTCCGCTGCAACAATCAACATTTACCTGGAGCTCATACAAGGCTCCATCAGTCCAAAGATAAAGGCTCTTTTAGCCCAACATTCCCTCATTGTGCTGGACAGTGATTCCCTCTTGAGTTGAAGTGGCCAATAGCAACACAAAGTGGGGATTTTGTCCTAAAAAGTGTTACTTTAAAAAATGTGTTCCCCATCACTTACATTGAAAGTGCGTCTGGGAGGGATCTCCTAATTATAAACAAGCAGAATCATAACAGCAAGCAAAACGTGTTTCAATGCGTACAAACCATTATTATATACTTGTTTTGTGAACCTGTTCATTAAACTGCATTTTTACTTCAATGTGAATGTTAAAAAACTAAAATCTAAATTTAAGTTTAAATTTACACAGATGGTTCCAGATTATTACATTATATTTTCAGTTTTTTTTGGCCATCTATATCCCAAATAATCCCTTATTGCACACAAAGTCAAACATAATGAGCAGTTTCTTATCTGGGGCCTCAATCAACAAGATGACACTGTTTGTCAGTGCTTACAGGCAATGCTACAAATGACCATTACAGAAAGTGTTGCTATTATTGTCTCCTGATCTGTAACCTCTGTGGTTAAGGTTTAGTTACTGTGGGTTTTAGGTAAAAAACTACTGGGTTGAAGTTAGGGAAATGCCATTATGAGTAAAAGAAAACATAACGACTGTTGGTGGGACAAAAGTCATCATTTCACAGACCTGGTGCAGGTTTTTGTCAGGGGTGTGTGTGTGTAACATCACAATTACTAATCCTAGTAATGATCTGTTACTTGCACATTTTGGAGGTAAGGCTTCTGACATCTGATGGATGGTTGATATGTGTTGACCTTTAACACAACAGCCTGCCTCCCTGAAACTACAAAGTTGTCTAATTTACAGTTTGCCTTAGTCACCTTGTGTTTTCAGCTAGCTTGCTGACGTTAGCCACTGGTAAGCCTGCCTGTCTTGCTTAAAAAATCGTCTACCTTCCAGTAACTACATGTGTTAAAGACAGAAGATGAGACGTGGGGTTACTAAGGACACAACGACACAACCGATATAGCAGAGCTGGGAAACAGTAATGCAATAAGCCATATAACTGATTATTGTTGCTGTTGGTAAAGTAGTAAGGTAATGGAATTACGTTGAGTAATGAGTGATTGATTATACTTTTCCCAGATTTTAAGCATTTGAACAAATGAAAAATGCTGTTTTTGTTCTTATGAGTCCTTGGTAATAATTGTACTGTTTGCCTTCTGTGGATGAGTTAATAAACAAACACAACTTTTACTCAGGGGACCGGAGTTCTTGTCCCATGTGAAATCAAAAGTTGGGTTATTTTGACTGCCGACATTCTGTCATGTGGCGCTACAGTTTAAGTTACGTGACAAGCATACTTATTTCTGTCACAGCTCTGCCCCTTCTCTCCTGTCTCTTTATTTTATTTCTCACTCACCTATCAGCTCATTCAGTGCACCTGTCAGCCTCCCTCATCATCAGCCTAACTCCCTTCACCTGCCTCTGTTCACTAATCAAGCACTCCCTCCTCATCAGCACAACTCCCCTCACCTGCCTCTATCCAGCCACTATTTAAACCCCTGCCTCTCAGGCACTCCTTGCCAGATCATTGCCATGTCTACCCGCCCGGTTTCCCCGTCTGCCTGCCCTGCATCGTCCTGCTGGATGTTTCCCTCTTGTCTGTGGATTCCCTTTTGTGTTCCGGTAAAGATTCCTGTTTTGTTTATATCTCAACCCGTTTCTCACTGCATCTGACTATGTCTGCTTTTGAGACCTCCACCACACCCCGTGACAATTTCAAGACAAATCGGGAACTGCTAAACCTCAAGTAGTTTTGCTGCTGGACTGCTCTTGTGTCTTGACTTCTGTGAAGTAATGTTGTGTTCTCGGACTCCAGCATTTAATTAATTGAGTACAGTGTTGCTATCACAGATAGGACATACATAGTATGCCCAAAGTTACAATAAACCATAACCACCCTGTCTCCCACAAACATTTCACCATTCTGTCCATCATTTACAGCTTTACAGTCGCCCCACTAATGTCCCTTCATTCACAAAGGTTTGGCAGAGCTGAATGCATGTGTTCATGGTCTGTCAATGGGCCTGGCAGGCGACCGGATCAGTCCTTGACTAACCCTCTGACAATCCTTCCCTGGCACACCTACATAAGGCCTTCCTGCAGCCGACTGCATGAACACTTTACTCTCTGTCATTAGATCTCCTTTAGCTTTTCAAACAGAAAAAAAGACAAACACGACAGCTGTTCCAGAAACATTTCCCTGCACTGTAACAGGGTAATAGCAACCTGCCGAGGTACCCTCTGAGGGAACATTCAGTCTGGTACCAGTCAGACAGGTCAATTATGATCATTGCTCAGGTACGGTGCCATCAATTTGGGCGTTCCGGCAGTCTACACGCCATGATAACTGCAGAGGAGGTGGAAGGACTCTGCTTTCCCATAATGCTTGGCAGCCAGGACATATTATAGCTAGTAGTAATTACTGATTGCATTAGAGATGGGATTGGCCTGCCCTTCATTGGTCCTTAGAAAGGAAATGACCTGTGATACCATTATCATAAATACTAATTAACCTGTCATGCATAAACATACTAAGGAAATTATTTGCATAAATATCAACTCGTACAAATGTTCTTCATATTGATGAGGGCACTGCGGCTCTAAGAATTTAATTGATGAAGAGATGGCTTCCTGAACCTTTTTGTCAAACAAATACAAGGAGACACATTTCAGATTGGCTCTCACTATATTAGGAAGTCTATATAGACGAATCCAGGTTGCAAGCAAAAGTAGACGGGATGCTATTGCTGTGGTGGCATCTAACATCTAAATATGCATAATAGGCTTAGCCAGTGCTACGCTTCAAACTATGACACTCTCGGTTCCCCTCTAGTGTCAGTTGTGGACGTGTCGGGGACGGCGTGTCTGTTTTGGCTCCTTAGATGCATGGTGTCTTTTCAAAATAAATTTCTGTGTTCACAGATCATTACATGCTTTTCAAAATAAATGTTACATTTTATGTTTACTTGCGCAACAAGAGTACACGGGTAGGTTTAGGAAAAGGTTGTGGTTTGGTATGTTTGTTGCATAAACTAAGTGTTTGTTACGTCACTGGTGTTAGTTATGTATGCAAGTTGCAGTAAAATAACGCTGTGTGAAAGTGAGGTGTTTGCTTGACCAATCCAACTTCCTTTTGTACAGTTGCCAAGAAATATGCCCAGATGATCCTTTTGACCCGCTACATGTAAAAATGTACTGTTAAAAAAGCTAAACCTCAATGCTCACTGAAATGTAGCCCACTTTAAATAAATGCTATTGTCTTTCAATCAATTCCACTGTAATTAGCAAGTTTACAGTATATTACCAATCAGTGTTCCCCCCCTAATATGGCTTTATATTGAGATTGAGGAGTTTGTTTTACAATATCACTAGCTGATGCTCTATGGGTTCCGTCTTAAGGCTCAACCTGTAGAGATCAAAATTGTATACTATAGTGATTTAAAGCTATACATACCAGTGCTATCGCCAGAAAAAAAA